TAATTCACTTTTAATTCCTGTTCTGGCTGTGTCTTTCTTCTTTTCAGCCAATATTATAACGCGCCACTCCTGAATTAGACCCTGTGCTGAGACAAAAGTCGCAATAGCTAACAGCACCGCGACTGTAACCAATAGACCGGTGTTGGTCTTCATGATTATAGTGCTGAAGCAGAAGACAAGTTACAGTTTTTACTATTCAGAACGGTTTGAGCTTGACGGTAGCCCCTACGCAGCGTAAGGTGAATCAAAGAAAGGTCAGTTAATTGAACGCTCGCGGATTCACCTGCAAAGCAAAGAACTTCTGTGATTCAATACATACTAATGCGAATTTACTGTTCATTGACTCCATGATGTTGTTTGTTAATATGTAAGAGTTTTGTACAATTGATCTAAAAATACTTTGGGCATCTATTTATACCCATTGGTTGAACACAAGCACAAACTTTATAATAAAGGACAAATGGGTATCATGTCGATCGTTTAGTATATTTATCTAAAGTTTAACTTATTTGCTGTTCACTCTGATGTAATTTCGTTAATAACTTAATGGAGTGGGTACAACATAATATGTTATACCCTGGTTAAGTTATAACCCTTTCAGTGACGACGAGTTTGCGATTGCATCGTCATTGCGGAGTGGCTCACTGCGGAGATAGTTGAAAAATAATATTTGACCAAATGACGATGAGTTTGCATTTGCATCGTCGTTCAAGTGACGACTCGCAAAACGAGGAGGGTTCCGTTTACGTGATTATTATCAGCGGTTAAATCTAGCTAAAAGCGTTAAAATGTAACAGTAATCTGCAAGTTTTTAATGTTTTTAGAGGCGAATCCGCGAGGTTGTAAACTATATATAAAATTGTAATGCGATGACTGTTGTTGTTATTGCTGTCGTCGTCGTCGTCGTCGTCGTCGTCGTTGTTGTTAACGTATGGTCCAGATATTAAAATTTTATTTTCCCAATTTGAATTTTTTTTATTTTTACGTAAAAGATGACAAAGACCTCTTAATATTAATATTAATTGAGATACATGATTAAATAAATTTTCTTTACCAGGAACACTAATTAGCTAGTTTATACACAAAAGTGTATGGCTTTATCATAGATTCCTTCAGATTAAGAACGCAATTACACATATCGATAAATGCTAAGGAAAGCTTGCTTAACTCTTTTTGCAAGAGTAGTAGGAATACCAAGACCCTGAAGTGACTATGATAAAGAAGGAGCTTAACGACAACAAATGTAGCGATTATGGAAGCAGGTTTTACTATAAGACTTTTGCTACGAATGTTAATATGTTCATTACAAACGATTATGTTTGAGAATTAAGTAAAACGTTCGTAGTAAATACGTTGTTGTGTTAATACACAGTGACTCTCTTTATAGTGTATCAAAAAAATCTATTAGCAAAAAATTCTCAAAAATCCACTATATCGAGAGTTTTTGAAAATTAATTAGTAAATACACTATATCGGATAGAATTTATTATAGACGGGTTTGAACCTCTATCCACTATATCGCGATTTTAATTAGTCTTCACTATAAAGGAGGTCTACTATAAAGAGCAGCACTGTGTATATTATTTGTATCAATACAAGACCGTCGGCTCAATAGCGTAGCGGTTTCACTATGCGTTCCTTCGTAGCGAACATTTAATAATTTTCTTAACCAACATATGGCTATGTTCCGATGCTGTTATGTGAATGAGATATTATATCTATAATATCAAGCATAACGTCGATTATTTTATCGATAGGATCGGGAAAGCTCGAGTTTGTGTGGGATTGTTTCGGAGGAGCGATAGTGTCGCTATTGATAATTGAATTGTCGATAGGATTGGTTGGTGTTACGGATATTGGTGGTGATGGTTGTATCGTTGTCGTTGTTGTTGAGGGAGGAAGGGATTGGTGCGATGTAAACGCTATGAAAGTATATACCACCGTAACTCGTCCATTTTCGTTCGTAGTTCGAACGGAGATATTCACTTAACACATCGAAGAAGTAATCTCATAACTACATGACAATGACATCGTTATGTTCAACTGGGTATGGATAACACTCCACCTAGGTAGTAACCCATGTTGCGTAGCGGAAAATATTCATTAGAATATTCGACAATGTAATTGAGAATGTTCATAATCGGCTTGCTGTCCGATTTACTAAACCGGAGTCTAAATTAGTAATATCAATTACTAATTGAGTCATCGTTTAGCCTATGACATATATTGTCTATACATGTGGTTATCGTGACGAATTATTGTTACAGAAGGCTATTATGAGAAAATTCGTATAATCGTTAATCATACAGAACCCATCAATGAAGCGATACTGAGTAGAACCCTCAGGATAGCCTATCGCGTTCACATACCTTCCCTGAATAAAAAGATTAGAATTGTCGACGAAGATATATAATAAACCGCAAGAATTGTACAAGATCAAGTATTCGAGCATAATTCCACAGGGTTTAATTCAGGAGTGGCGCGTTATAATATTGGCTGAAAAGAAGAAAGACACAGCCAGAACAGGAATTAAAAGTGAATTAGATGACACAAGGCAGACGAGAATAAACCATTTCGCATTGCCTGAATTTATTACGACTCACCAGTTTTAACGCGTCGTTCTGCGATAACGTGAGTGGAGTTAGCGATAAGAAGCAGGAAAGAAGAGCACAAGTTAGTCAACGTCACAAAAATATACAAAATACAATATTAATATGTGGCGTGAGCGGTAAGCAAGAAAAGCTAGGATGATTGATTACCAGTAGTAGTAGGGACTCAACGATTACATGTACAGTATATACTTTTTCTGTGGGGTGTTGGTCCAGTGTTATTCAATATCATCTATTGCCGGTAATTTGGTTTTCGTCTTCTAAACGCAGTCTCTGAATAACGTCATTCTGATTGGCTGCGAGAATTTCTACCTTCCAAAGTCTCAGTTTATCAGCGCCCATACCGGCGAAATCATTCTGCTTTATTGCGTCCTTGAGGTCGCATCCCTATCGATCTTAACCGGGAAGGCGTGTTCAGCAGTCTGTCCTTTTTCAAGGCAGAAAAGTTTGATGGACATGGTCATAAGGATGTATGTGGTATGGACGGACAAAAAGTAACGAAAAGGGCTTTTTGGGCGCTATGGGTATACACAGTGAACCTGGATATAACGAAATTTGACTATAACAAAGTTTTTTTGATATCCCGAACTTTTGTCTAATAAAATTTCCTGGATGGAACAAAGTTAATTAGAAAAACCTGTGAAGGCTCGACTAATGATAACTTCGTCATAAATATCGACAATTGTTCTTATTTGGGGGGGTAAATCGTGACAAAATCTGTAATATTATTGGTTGAAATACGTGATTGTTCCGCTTTAGCTAACCTCCCTTATTATTATTGTAAACAATAACGCATTCTCATATTTAAGTGACAACTCTGAGGCGTTATTGGTGCTTGCGTACATTGCGCAAAAGAATTTATAGTCTGTTATCTTTTCTAATTTGAGAAAAAAAAATCGTGCAAACCAGTATACAAAGGAATACTTGACATAATATACTTGACATCCGATTCGTAATTTTCATGCAATAAAGTTTCTTTTTTGCAAGAGTCTCAATAAAATTAATGTTGCTATATTGTTATGATATTTGCAGTAATACATAAATAATTGCAAACTATTACCCTCTTAAACGAAGACAGACTGAACTTATATAGAACTTTATTATAAAATGGAAACTGGCTACAACGGAAAGCGAAGAAAAAGGACCACTTCGTTATATCCAGGTTCTCTAGGTCACACAGCCTTATAGCCCATAATATTTCTATTTATGATGGATGATGCGTATGGTATAACTGTATTGAATCTGCGTTAAAAAATAGTCTGATCGACTAAAGACAAGATAAAAACTTGGACCTAGCAGGACTGCATGGGAGGCAAACAGTATTTCTCAGATACGGACCCAAAGCCTGCCTGAAAGGGCGACGATTACCCTATTCTCTCTTTCCGCTAGTTCCAGCGCTATCACTATTTTCCTCCTCTACCTCTGTATCTCATTATCTACCCATAATATAATACATTGGGTCCGTATCATTTCACCGACAGTTTACTTCGCCGACAATTAATTTCCTAAAAAGAAATAATGTTGGTGAACATTTGTCGGTGAAATGGTTGTGAAATGATTGCCTCCCTAACACTAATACATTCTATAGTTCTCCCGTCGGATTTCTAGTAAGTGGGATTTCCTTATAGTGGCATCTCCAAGGCGTTTCCCCAACTCTCTAATTTCTTCTGATATTTTGGATGACTCGGTACGTTTTTCGAGCCGACATTTGCTTTGAATAGGCGATTGAAATCTTGCCAGAGAGTTTGAATATTGCCGGTATAATCTTGAGGTCTTCTTCGAGTATTTAGGTATAATACTAGCGATTGGACTAACATGAACACGAGCACGAAAAAATCTGAATTGTTTTTTGAGAACGCTTTTTGCGTATTATGGTTTGGGTAATTTCATGGTTTGATCTTGCAGAACAAGAATATGTGATTGTTGTAATGCAATTTGCGTGCGTTTTGCGTTGTATTGTAAATTGTGTAAGGACAAACGGGATCCGTTCATTTCCCCGACAATTATTTCCGACAATTCCTGCTGAAATTATTTTAGTGCCGAAGTATTTATTGGAAATAATGTCGGGAAATGAACTGTCGGGGAAGTGATAGTCGGGGAAATGAACCAGACCCGATAAACATTTTGTGGAAGATCTTCTGGAAAATAATTAGAACTTGACTTATTATCTAACACAAGTCGATAATTCCTAAGCTTAGGATAAAATGCACAGAGAGAAAAACAACACGGCCTTATATATATGGAAGTGGTAAGTGACTCAAATAATCTTGAATATTGCTTATAAGAATGGAGACTCTTGCACCCTGGGAAATCGAAACTCCAAAATCAGCATCACTATGAGGATACCAATGAACGGAATGACGAGACAATTAAGAGTAATGTCAACCATTTTACGTTTCCTGAAAATAAACATAAACATCCATAGTAAGTAGTGAAATTCTACTACTACTTTGAACCTGGTTATTGATGCATGCAATGCATTATACGGGATATGTATCCGTCATCTCAAAACGCGCTTATTTATATCCCTCCACTCAAACTGAAACCCGTTAAAAGACTCTTACCTATTATTCAAATCTCCCATTTCTACCACAGAAAACGCTCCTGTACTTTTTTTAGAGTAAGAAATTCGGGACAATTGTATCATTCATCTTTACAATGTTCTTGTTCTTTATTTGATGCATGAGTAATATTTGGAACATATATTGAGTTGGCATAATTCTTTTCAAGCAATTTAAGATTGAACTATAACAGTGGGTCCTGTTTTCACAAATTATAAGCCAATTCATTCATTAATAATTATAGTCTATACCACTCATCCTCTCACATTTACTTTTCCAATAATATCCTAAAATTCAAAGGCAATCTTGTCTCTCCATTGTTCCAATTTTTGCTGATATAGTAAAAGACGGATAACTGTATATATATCAGATTTGCTTTTGATGTAATGTTGAAAATAAAAAAGCTCAGACTTTTTTTTTCCTCAATCATAAAATTTAGACTTGATGTTGGCATATTTGCGGTTATTATCATTGTTGTTTAATGTTCATCTACTATTTTAAGTCTCAAGTACAAGTGACATATTAATACATATATAACCAAAATTGTAGTGATTAAACTACATGCAAATAAGATATTTTACTGCTTTAATAATAATAATTGTTAGAACTAATCACTTATAAAGTATACATAACAGACCATGTAACATAACTTGTATTGAACCAATCCACATAATACTAATTGCTAAAAAAGGGGAAAGGCTAAAGCGGAGCAGAACGTAATCACGCATTGGCAGTTTTATTGGCTGCCATACAACTTTGACCAATGGAATCGCGAGAGATCTGCTCCGCTTTAGACATGCCCTAAAAAAGTTTAGTATTTCAGAAAGTATAATAATAAGCAACTTATTAAAACACAAACAATTTATCAGACTATCTTGTAGTCTCTTAATATTATTTTGTCATCAGCATCTCCTTGTACTCCTTGTACTTGGTGCTCTTAATACAACGTTATCTATAATACACAACAACAAAAGTTTTCAGTCGTCTTACATACACCACGAACAAACAATGGACTCTTAACGCTCAACGACGACAACACGGGTTATCGACGACTGATACCGTTTACACGTATTGCTTTACAACCTCTTTTTCGACGTTGTAACGAACAATCACTCCATACATATTACGCGCATACGACTAGACTGTTTGCCACAGCTGACAAAAAAGTTACGGTTTATCGATCATTAACTGACAAAAGAGTTCAAACACACGTCTTTCATAATGTACGCATGCCTCACGTTACAACATCTCCAATCCTTTACGACAATCTATATTATGCACACACGATTACGGTTTGCTATAACTTACTAATGTGTCTTCTAACAACAACACGGTTATGGAAAAGCGGTGGTTGACGGCTGAAGATATGACTGAGTAAAAGTTGTGGCTGTATTAGACTGCATTTAGGAGGATGAAAGTAATAACATAGACATAAATTACATTGACTTATCAATAGCGAGATTTATATTAAAATAGAAGACTTGGAGTGTAGTCTAGAGCTGGGAGCGGAAGAGCCGAAGAGCAAACTGCCGGTTCAGTTTGAAAAATCTCTTAAAGAGGGGGGAAAGCGATCTGATATCAAGTGATTTCTGAAGTACTGAGATAGAGTAGTTTGGGATGATGATCATTTCGTGCTCTATGGCTCAACGCTATTAAAGAGGGTGTGACAGCGATCTGATATTAAGAAGTACTGAGATAGAGTAGTTCGGGATGATGATCATTTCGCAGCTCTACCAAATCCAAGTCATGGTTTGACTGCGGTACTTAAAGATTTATTTAAAAAAGTATGACAAATGTTTATAATTTGTCTGTTGACTAGTAGCATAAGTCTGGAATGAGTTTGCTAAATAAAATCTAGCTATCGATAAATAAATAAATTCCAACCGTTTTATCAAATAATGAATCAAATAATAATGGTGACTGTAGCTTACAGTGTCGAGACTCATAAAATAAACTGTTAATTCCTTATCAAGGACTTCCTGCTCACGACCTCATTAGACACTAATACTAAATGGTTATTCGCTTAAATTAATTTTGTATTTTTTTTTTCTATAAAATTACTTTAGAAAGCCACGTCTATTCACGTACTCTTTGCCGCACTTTTTTACTCTTCAGTTTATAATAGTGATCCATATTGCTCCGACAATTGAATTACGTAAGTTCTACAACGTGTTCTTCAACGGTTTTTTATTAGTTTAATGTTTTTACTCCAGTGATAGTTTTTACTGACCTGATTTTTATCTAACTATAAGTTGAAGTGACCGAAATTATGAGTTTTGAATGTCACAAGTTTTCATATACAGTCAAATCTCGAAAAGCCGATACTGCGGAAAACAAATAACTCGCGGCGGGTGTGAAGCATACACTGACGGAACAGAATACGCTTGTAGCATTTTCTGTCTTGTGAATTCTGTAGTTAATGTCAAAATAATAATGTCTATTTGGCATAGCGAAATGTATTAGAAATGAGGCAATTGTTATCTGGGGTTTTCTAGTTTGGAAGTGGATCACAGCATGTTTAGACCTGTAAATAAAATAAACATACAAGTCTTGGTATGTCTGTTGTAATCCCGGATTTGCATATTAATATGTAAATGCCCCCTGGACAAGGGGTCAATGCGGTTTTCAGGGACTTCCAGACAGGATTTACATACTCATCTACAAATTAATGGTTTTATTTGGATAAAATATCAAAGAGTTTTATTCTTATTGATCCAATAAAAACTCTGTATAATCGGTTGGAACTGATGGCATTGAACATCGCTGAGCCTAAAGGTCTAAGTAATAAATTAAGTATTGTAAAAGACGCCCAATTTGGTCATTCCTATATTAATATGGTGAATTCTGTCGCAACGTTAAATACGATGATGTTATTCAAAATGTTTTAACGAACTCGAACCAGAAAAAAATTTCGTCAAGCGAAACATTAGGAAAGTCTTTGAACAACAGAATAAGTGATAATATAACATGCGTGCAAAGGATCTATCAGTAGTTGTCACTAAAATTAGGCAAGTTTCATGTTATGTGATTACAGTATAAACAGTTAGTCATCTTTTCGGTAAATATCATAAATCGAAAATTCGGACGATGGCCTCAGAAAGTTGGTATCCGAATTAACGGAAGTTGATACATCACTACTTACGTTCTTATTACTATGCTAGTACCGTTATGTATGCGGTAAATCAGTCTGTTTCCTAAATAATAACTTTACCAAGCATAATATTAAATACCGGACATACGATGGAATAAACAAGTTCACTACTTGTCTAACTATATAAAGAAATCATGTGATGTCAAACTCGGTCATACCCATTATTCGTACATGCGCTCACCATATTAAAGCTTATTGCATTCATCAAACTACAGCAAAGCGTTTCATAATTGATATTTCACAGATTTACGGCAGAACATGTTACAGTCCTAATTAAGTATTATGGTCGCAACATACTGTGAGCGATTTTATCTAGCCGTTGCGTATTAACATGGTATCCATTAATCGAATTTAGTGCTCATATACCCGACTATTGAAAAGCCTCTGTTCATACCATTAGTTGTTTGGTCCGACGTGAGGTTAAGCGGTATGTTTTGAGACAATATGTAATAATGATAATAATAAGCCAGCTTGTCGACGGGTACCAATTAGATTTATTTTATACAAACATCTCTATTCATCGAGCATGGGTACAACGCCAGTTAGCATACAAAAAAAAACAGTAATTGCATCGATAGTGTTTCATTGCTATACAAGCTTTTTTCCATTGATAGAAGGCATTGAAAACCGAAGAACTTTTATATGCAGTTAATCAAAATGTGCTACGCTGCACATTTAGTACAAATAAATATATAATAATAAACTTTTTCTCTCATACTTTAATTTATGCAACTAATAGTCGCCCATTTCGCAAAAGGCAAATGATACGTGTTCACCTTCAAATTTAGTTATTAGGACAGGACAAATGGAAATGTGTAAAAAGGCCAAGTTACAAGACAAGAAAAGCATGGAAATAATGAAATCATGCATCTGAGTTACACATCGAAATAAGGTGTGACAATCGAAGAATATGAGCGGTTTTTGGTTATTTGAGACTTGCACATTTTAATTTTGTTCATACACATATTTATATAGTAATAGGTTTTGATTTCCTATAAAGTGTGTCACTATACCATATTTGATCTATAATGCCAGCACATCGCAAATGCGGCAAGCATAGATTAATTGACCTCATTATCAGAAAGACAAAACACCCATGGCAATGGTTTCATCTTTGATCGTTTACGGTTATTACCGTTACGGATTCGTAATCTATCGGTTCTTTTCATCCCCTGTAATCGGCGAATGTTCTATTTAGAAAGTGTATAATTTTGTGCTTCAACACAAGAATGCTTGCATTATCAAATGTTAATACATGTTACACGATGCGAATAAACATTAAATACCCTGGCTTGAATATACGTTTTGAATTGATTCACTCCCAGCGAGATATACCACATTCGACCTCGAAAACCATTCCTTTTCCCTCGTTGAGTAGTATTTCATTGATTGATACTCTCTCTCTCCTCTCCTCCGCCTTCCTTTCTTGCAGTCCGCGACTCTCTCCTTTCAATACAGTATATACACCTCCCGCGGTACACATACCTTCTCTCCTCTTCCACCCCTCTACTCCTCCTCCTCCTCCTCTCTCTAATATCATAAACAATGAAATATTTACTCAGCGTTGCTGTTCTCGCCCTTTCAGCCATTGTGGGCTCTCTTGCAGCTCCTCCACCCCCGCCGCTTGATTGCAGTGTGGTCACTCCTGTCAAAAACGACGTATGGGTAATGGGAAAACCACAGACTGTAACCTGGAGTTGCAAGACTGCTGGCCCATTAGAGAACCAGTCCAATCAATTGCTCATGCATATTGAGCTTGGCACTGGAACGGCAGATACGTTTGTGTGAGTGTTTCTTTCTTTTTTACGTTAAACATGGAGAGCATGGAATCGAACAGTAATCTTGTTATTTAGTATACCCTTTTTTTGTAATGATTTTGCAAATAAACATTAGCCATGTCACTGATTAAATTTATTATTCATACGTGATGTAGCTACACAGACACACTCGACGCGGCGGCTAAACTTCGAGAAGTCAAATTCACCTTTATCCTCCTTACCAAATATACACCCGGAGATTATATCCTCCGTCTGCGTTCCAAGAAAAAGGGTGACGTTGACCCGGTAACTGCTGAAGAGGCGAATAAATTCAAGTGGTCATACTCTCCAAGTTTCAAAATCGTCAGTGCTGGTGGAGCCCCAAACCCTGGACAGGTTACAACTGGCGGAAACAATACTACAACAAATAATACTAGTAGCTCGACTGGTGGCGGCTCGACTGGTGGCAGCTCGACTGGTGGCAGCTCGACTGGTGGCGGTAGCTCGGCGAATAATTCTACAAAGGGCCCTACAGGAAGCGACAAAAATACTGCTGGTATCGTGAACGTTAACTTTGGTGTGTTCTTTACTACGATCATGGCAGCTTTTGTGGCGGCGGCTTTCTTCTAATTTAAAATGTAATGATTGAACTGCATCAAATTTGTACACTGACTCGAGCTGGGTGTTCGAGTTGTTTCTCGCTGGGTGTTTGGATTCTCAGAACACGGATCTCCCGTCCTCGTCTTCAACACCTTTAAACATCTTCCCAATTCTCCCAACATATTCTGATTAATCTTTCTGATCATTACCAATGTTTTGTATAGAGTTCTCAGTGTTTTTGACTGAATTGAATTGGATTGATGTGTGTGTTGTTTTTTCAGTTGATCTAAATAAAGACCAATCGATAGCTTTACTATCGCTCGACGGCACTTTTTTATTAATTCAATAATTGTGTTTGTGGTATGGATTAGCAATGTGGAATGAAAAGATACGCGTACATGTTGAAAGACTTTGCGCACTGCACTCAGTTGTTGCAGAAGCAAGATGCAAATCAGTAGATAAAACTCTAATCGCCCTATATTCACCAAACAAACGGTATCACGGCCTTTCTCTCACGCGGATAATCCTCTTTGAATTTCTGAAGATACCAACGATGCGTTCTTTGTGCTCTAGGGAATAAATTAGATGGCGTGGTGAAAGCGAACAAGATCGCCGGCGGACTATACCAAGCCGCAATGGCAAATCCAATCCACTCTACAGTTTCGCCAAAGTATGTTGGACAACTAATGTACTTGTATAAACCTCCATGAGGAATCAAGTATATTCGCTGCTGTTGTTGCTGTTGTTGCTGTTGCTGCTGTTGTAAAGCCTGCCTCTGCGTTTTTTCGCGGAGAGAAAAGAGAATATTGTCGTGGTGGATATTAATCCACATTCCTATAAAGAATATTACGATCCCAAGAATGAAATGTAAAGACATCCATGTGTCTGATTCGTATTTTCCAAATGACCCTGTCCAACGTGCGTTGGAATAGCCATTAATAACGTTGAACATCATCCCACATAATATAGTGCTCAAATTCATAGGTGATATTCCCGGTGCTCTATACGTGTAGATTACCACTCTGTTTACATAATGTACCATCCACAGCGTCCCAAGAATTATTTGTGCCGGAGTGTTTGGATTTGAAGGTGGAGCAAGGAAATAGTAAAGGAAGATGAGTGGTGACCATATTTCCATAAACACCCATCCTGGCTTCCCCGGGATATTGGGAATGACCCAGTCTGATTGGAATTTACCTGTTTGTCATGTTATATGAAATAGATAAAAAAATTTGGATGAGTATTAAAAGAAAAGCGAGAAGCGAAATATGTTAATCAATGATACAGAAAATCGAGTATAATACCGTATGGTGCATAGAGAAAATATAAAAGAGTTACGTATGTGATCGGAATGAAATAATAGATTTGGAGAACGAAATTAAAGGTTTCGTCTTGCGTTGTTTCAACAAGACTCGCTCGTAGGTTGTCCGCAAGTTTCGTGAGATTCATAGTCACAAAGCTGTTAATTAAAAACTGCACGTTAAAACTCGATGATATATTATTAATGTTACAATTATTATGTCATACGTTTTTTTACAGCATTGCAATCTTCAAAGGGGCAACAAAAGGTCGAATTTAACCGAGTCATGCGGGCATGTTGATAATGTCAGATATTAATCTAGGACTTTTTATTGCCTAACTACAGACATCTGTTGTTCTTTGGACGTATGGAAAGTCATATAACGACGTGCGAGCAAGAAAAAAAAAGACAGATATTCTGTTTTTATAATTTGGACTTAATCATGCAAAAAAAAAAGCGTTTATTAATTTTATGTATATACTGCAAAATGACATCATCTAAGCAAGAGCATTTTTGAAAGAAGCGAAAAACCACCTAGAAATCTATGGCAATTGAAATCTTACGCGCTCAACGTTAAACCCTTTTTTCATCACCTACGAAAAACTAATCCACGCAAAATGACTGTTGAAGTGATAAACAATGGACGATAGCATTTATATAATAGTGAATTCACCAGCGCGACACCGGAATGGCTTTGGGACCAATTTGTCTTATAAAACTAATATAAGATTGAGGTAAAAACTTTGTGACTGTATTAACCGCCAGCTAATCATATTGAATGTTTACCAGTATTGTACTAAAAAGCTATAATGCTCCTCATGCGTATTTATTAAGCTGCTACAAAGATGTTTCTTTTGGTATTCGTCCAGCTAAAACCCATTTACACAAGCTAGGCACTAACGGATGTTATGGATTAGGCCGGCCGAATCTGGTTGATTGCTTGACCCGAATAATATAAATGAAGCGATCAAAGAATGGAATCGGAACCAAGACTTGTAAATAAATTTGTGGCATATACTCAATAACATTGCAATGTTGGGGTAAATTTACATTCCTCAGAGCTATATATTTTTGCTATTTCATTTGTTTGCCCTCACGTTACAGATACCTTTTACAACGGGCGCATAGCAATTTAAATTGTTTATAATGTATGTTGAAGTTGCACTATGTACGAATAAATAGATGCAATAATTGAAATCACTATACAATAGGAACACTCATTCCCCATCACCATATTATCATCGTTCTAGTCAACACTTCAATAATTAAGTATTTCGGACGAAGTTCGAACAAATACACTCCTCTCCGTTCCTCTCCCCTCCTCTTAGCTTCTATTGGGGGATCAACAACACCTGGTCAACAGACTCATCCACTTCCCGCGCTTCCCGGACCATACGGACAAATTCTTGATCATGCGGTTTCATGAGATGAATCGCCTTCACGATATCGACGGCTTTTCTGAAAGTACGTTTAGGATTGAAAGGCGGTCTCATTGGAGTACGCACAACAGGCGGAGCCTGACTATATCCATTGAGCCACGGGTGTAAAAGAGCATTGTCAGCCGTCATTCGCTCGTTAGGATCTTTTGTTAACAAGCGGTCTATAAAGTCTTTGGCTACAATGGGAACGTTTCGGAGATTAGTGCGAGAACATTGGTAACGAATCATCTTTCTTATTACGTACCACCGGGGGTAATGCAATCCCAATATTCGGCCGGTTCGTACTTATAATCGGCATTTATGATAGCAGCAAAATCGTTATCATCGTCAAATGGCGGGTACCCACATAACAAAAAGTATGTAATAACACCGATAGCCCACATATCAACTGGCTTTCCGTGTCCAACTTTCCTATGGATCTCGGGTGCCTGTCGAATGATACATGTCAACATGTAAACATGCTTTAGTTTTTTTACGCAAAAATATAATCTTAAATGTTACCATGTATCCAGGGGTTCCGCATGTGGTCGTAAGAAGATGGAATTTTTCAGAGTCAATGATTCGCGATAAGCCAAAATCAGCAATTAGCAAGTCGGCATCTTCAGCAGGCGTTCGGAATAGAAGATTTTCGGGCTATAGATGGTTTATAAAAACCGACAACATTTAGCATTAATATTGTTACAAGTCGAATACAAGCCGTGTCAGCCCCATGTTGCCTAATCATACCTTTAAGTCTATAAGAGAATGACGTCCGCATGAAATCAGTATTGTTAATCAAACAGTCTTTTTTACATTTTCCTACGAGCAAGCATAGGCCTACCTCGATGAACAATTCCATTATGATGAAGATACGCAACCGCTCCTGTGATGGTTCGCACAAGATGAGCCGCTTCGGCTTCGTCATAGCTTACTTTAGTGCAAATCCTCTCAAACAATTCACCACCGGTAGCTAGATCCGTCACCAAGTACACTAAAATCAAATTAAATAACAAAGATATAAGATAGGCACGAGCGCGCAAGCATGAAAAGAAAAAAAAGATTGCGATAACCATAAGAAATTCTACATACGATTATTTACAGTTTCAAAATAATCGACAAGAGTGACAATATTCTTGTGCCCTTGTGATACCTTCTTCAATATATTGATTTCATTCCTCACCATATGCTCGCGGCCTTCCATCAACTTCTTATTGATGACTTTTACAGCAAAATACTGGCCGGTCGCAATCTTTCGTATAGCAATATCACACAGATGAGAGGCATAAGCAAGAATTTAAGAGACCAATCGCAATGTAGAAATAGATCAAAGATAATCAGATATAGTTATACATACATGCTGGGCCTCTGTTAATTACAGCATATAGTATGCGCCATAAAATTGTTAAGACATAAGTGTGGTCAGTGTCGTTTTATTAACATTCGTCAATGCGAAACAAAAGAGAAAACTATAATTTGATGTGTCTTTTCTTATTTTTTTTTTCTCCGGCTGACGTCCGGGCCCTATCCATCAAGACGGTCCGGACCTTAACTCCCTTGTCGTCTCTTATTAATCCATCGACCCGTCAACTAACCTTTCACCATTGCATATGTGCCTTTTCCGAGAACCTTTCCGGTTTTGTACTAGCATACAAGAAGCAAGATTTCGACGAAAACCAACAACGCATATATACTCAGTACAACGCAACGACTCTATGAAATTTGCCTGAACAAGACTCGAAACTAGCCAAAAATTCATACTTGACAAGGCACGGTAGGATAAGCCATAATGGAATTCTTGCTTTACTGCTCTATCGAAAAGAGAGACCCTTTTGAGAGAGAGGAACGTGCTCTGTTTAACCAGATGGTGCAGACTGCTATTGTCCAATGGAAATTTTATATGGACGATGATGGCACGTGTTGTGGTTTTACAGTTAGCCTTTTTTATATCAGTCAATTTCACAAGTTATTTTATTCGTCCATTTTTTGATGTTTGTGCCGTATATCATTACCTTTGAGGGCATATTTGTATATCAACAAAAAATTCGCAGACAATGGACAATAATAATCGCTTATCGTACTGCGGTCAGGAATTGTCTGTGCATTTGATGATGTTCTCAATTGAATCGCTTTTTAGTCTCATATCTAAGCAATATTTTTAATGATAGGAAGAGAGAACATTGTTACAGTTTGTTGCGCAGAATTATAATTAACGTGCATAACGGTAATAGTAATAGTAATAGGTTTCTTCATCTTTTGAAAAATTGCATTCTTCACTAATACTAAGTGACTGATAGTTCCTCTTTGTTTAAAAATATAAACTAATAATTGACTATTAAAGTTTACAATAGTTACTAGTAAGAACTTGGCTAAAAATAAAGTGTTTTCGTTTCTTCAAAAAATTTGTAAAATATTGAGAATCAGCATTTTTTATAAAAATTCATATTCACATATTAGTATTCGTGAGCTTGTCCGTTCGTTAACATTGGTATTTAATATACAATATGTGTTTGAAGTTTAAGACAAGACTTTATATTTGTGTGCCGTATAGCGACTTTTACGAACTCAAAGAGATCGCATCTGGTGGCTACGGATCAGTTTATACTACAAAATATAGAAACTATTCAGAATAAAAAGAGAAAATGGAAAAACCCTGGCGCTCAAACAGTCTAAGGGTTTAAAAAGTTATTTGATAAAAAACTTTTAAGAAAATGGCATCTGAAATCTACACGTTACGTGAAGGAAAAGGCATTGCAGCCTCAACTCTAAAAAACTTCTACCTACGAAAAACCAATCCGCGGAAAATGACTGTCGAAGCAATACAGGAATGGATTAATAGAGAAAAGAAGAGGGGAGAAGAAGACGTTGATAGCATTAATAATACTGTGTAGCATAGATTCACTAGCGCGACCAAAGTATAGGGGTACTCGTTAATGGCTTTGGGTCCGAGTATTTCCATCCCATGCAATCGCTCTAGTGAATCTTCAAATATATCTAAAGGGATAATAAAGTCAAGATGACAAAATACGATAAATGTCTGATTACGTTAACCTTTTGCAATACATATTCAAATCTTTGAGCAAAAAAACGAAACTCGACACTTAACGAAAACGAGGTCTCTATTCATATCGTTGTACTCATATAAACTACAATTACAGGAATAACGTTTGTTGGAGATTGCTACTTTGATCTCTGTTCAAGTAAACGAAGCTTTACTTTTTACATACGGTAGTCATTATGTGTACGATCATTTCTGCGCGTCTGTTGTCATTGGTCACATTCTGCATACAATGACGAACAATGGTTACAATTGTGAAAAAGTCTAGAAAGTTCCTAGTAACACGTCATTGATTAAGCCACTGATCAGCGTTAGTACAGAGATCCTGATTCGCGCAAGCTTAATTTTGCAATCTGCACTAATTTTCTTTCTTTAGTCGCATTTTCTCGCCTGCCAACGAAGCCTACCCAGAAATACACTTTTATATTGAACCCCCCTTAGTGAAAAGGCTGTCACACCTGCTTCTCCAGGGAGCGTTCTGCCTTATGCACGGACATCGTCAAAGCGGCAAGTCAACGGTGATATATGCAGCACGACGGTATCTCCACACCTTGACAGTGGACATGGCTGCCTTCGGACTGACCACACCTGATGCCTACATCATTTCATTCGACGCTGGGATTGATATTGATAACGGAGTCGATGCATATTGGAAGTCCGTATGCGAAAAGTTACGTGTCTTGAATCCGACCTTGTTCGCCTTTGACGAACAATTGCGTGTAACTTCGCACACGTTCGAGAGTTTCTTTCTGCGGCGGAGTTCATCACGGCCAATAATTCTCTTTATTGATGAGGCCTCATGCCTGGTCGGCAAGGATCCTGCAATCAGTAATAGTCTGCTGGGCACATTACGTTTACTTAAAGGTGATAGGGATAAACGTTGCCTGCATGCTATCGCACTTGTAGGTGTTGAGACCATCAACCAAAACAATATTTTAACCGAAGAGGAAATAAAGGAACTAATTGGTAATTTAAACCGAAATCCAAGTGAGGTAGTGATAAGAGCAGTTAAAGATTACTTTTGGCTTTGCCCTTATGCCCTAAAACACTTAGAAGACAAAGAGTTCAAAAGTAGTTTTATTCGTCTTATTTACTTGCATAAGGATGCACTTGATTGATACATAAAAGCTGATAAAGAAGTTAAAGGTTTACAATCCTTAACAACCAGTTTAGAGAAAGAG